TATTTTTGTTTGTCGATGCTATGGTAAATGAAAATTTTTTTAAATTTTGTTTTCAAATTGTTTGCAGCTAGTACATTCATTCCTTGGTACCCACAGGGGATTGGTTCCAGGACCACCACACCCCTCACCCCCTGCGCAGATACCAAAATCCATGGACACTCAAGTCCCTTATAATAAAATGGCATAGTATTTGCATATAACGTACACACACTTTTCTCAAATACTTTAAATCATCTTTCCCATATACTTATAATAGCTAATATAGTGTAAGTGCTATATAAATAGTTGTTATACTGTATTGCTTAGGGAATGATGACAAGAAAAAAGTCTGTACATGTTCAGTACAGATACAATCAGCAATCATCACAGGCCTAACTACATAGTATGTGTCAGCATCAGTGTAACTTTTTTTTTTTCCAAATATTTTCCATCTAAAGTTGACTCTGTGGACGTGGAACCTGAGGATACGGAGGACCAACTATATATAGGTATACAGTTGATTTTTATATACGACCTTATTAAAGTGACTACTTAGTTCTAAAAGTTGGTTTTTGTAAATCTGCTAGGATTTTCTTCATAAACAATTATGTAATCTGCAAATAGGGTGTATTAATTTTTCCTTTTAGATTTGTCCACTGTTCTTTTTCTTGCCTTATTGCAATGACTAGAACATAATACAATGTTAAATAGAAGTAAGTAGTCCTCGTCTTACCAATAATACAGGGAAAAAAGTTAATATTTTAATAAATGCAATGTGGGTTTTCATAGAAAACTTCATTAGATTGAAGAAGTTTTCTGAGAAGTTTTATCATTAACTCAGTTGTCTAATGATTTCATTGCATCCATTTAAATGGTCACATGATTTCTCTGCATCTATTCACATAGTCACATGATTTCCCTCCTTTATTCCGATAATGTAGATTACTTTGGTTGATTTTTTTTTTTTAATGTTAAATTAACCTTGAATTCCTAGGATAAACGCTATTTGGTTATAGTGTTTCATCCTTTTTATAGATCACTGGGTTCAACTTGCTAATACCTCGTAAAGCATTTTGTGTCTATGTTCATGAGGGATGGTGGTCTGTAATTTCCTTGTTTGTAATTTCTTTGTCAGGTTTTGGTATTAATGTTATGCCGGCCCCATAAAACAAGTTGAGAAGTGTTCTATTTTATGAAAGACTTCATATAAGATGAATGTTACTTCTCTCATGAATGTCTGCTAGAACTCACCAGTAAAACTATCCATGGCTAGAGTTTACTTTATGAGAAGGTTTTAGATTAATTCAATTCTTCTAATAGATATAGGGATATTCAGATTTTCTGTTTCATCTGTGTCCATTTTGGTAAGTTACATTTTTCAAGGAATTTGTTTCATCTAAGTTGTCAAACTTTTTGGTGTTAAATTGTTCATAATATTTTAAAGTTTTAAGTTTTCCTCTAAGCACTGCTTTAGTTGAATCTCACACGTTTTAATATGTTGTAATTATTATTCAATTCAAAATATTTCCTAAAATTCTTTATATTTTCGCACACAGAATGTATAGAAATGGGTTGTTTAATTCCCAAATTCGTGGAGTTTTTCTTGATATCGATTTCTAACTTAATTCCATTTTGGTCAGAGAGTCTATTCTGTATGATTTCAGTTTTTATTAAGACTTATTTTTTGGTCTGGCCTATATGGTCTCTCTTGGTAAACATACGAAGTGTATTTGCAAGAATGTGTATTCTGCAGTTATTGGATGCAATGTTCTATAAATATAAATTAAATCAAGGTGATAGTATTGTTCAGATTGTCTTTGGGCTTTTTATTTTTTCCTGTCTAGTTCTATCAGTTGCTAAGAGAGAGATACGAAATATGTGACTATAGTTGAAGTATTATCTATTTCTTCTTCAGTTTATATTATTCATTTATTTTGAAGATTTGTTATTAGGTACTTATACACTTATGATTGCTATGTTTTTCTGATGTATGAGCTTTTTATCATTATGAAATGTCCTTTATCCCTGGTATTAAAGTTTCTTCTATTTGATAATTTAACCATTACAGCCTTCACGTACTTACAGTTCTCCCTATGTGTCGTCTTTTTCCATCCATTTACTTTCCACCCATATGTGTCTCTATATTGATAGCGGGTTTCTTGTAGACAGCAATCTACAATAGTTGGGTCTTGTTTTGTTTTTATTTTGTTTTGTCTTCATCCATTTTCACAATGTCAGCCTTTTAATTGCCTGTTAACATTTACTATAATTATTGATACAGTTGGGTTTTCATATACCAGTTTAATCACCTTGTTACTTTGGTTTTCAGTAGCCAAGAATAATAGTTTCTGTGAATACTGTTATTGTCTAATTTTGTATAATGCATTTTTTTATATTCTTTAATAGAGAATGTCTTCTTAAGAGAGAGGATCCCTTATGTCTAGTACAGTGCCTTAAGCGTAGAAGATATTTAGTACATGTTGTTAAATGAATGCAGCAGAAAGAACTGCATTAAGAATCAGGAGACTTAGGTTCCAGACTTCTGTTATTATCATAATCTTGACCAGGTTTAAGCCACTTATTTGTTCTGTGCTTTAGTTTCCTCATCTGTAAAAATGGGGAGGTAGGGCTAGATTATCTTTAAAATTACTTCTTTCCCTGACATTCTATGATTTGAAGATTTCTATTGGAATGAGAATTTTTACCTTGAAATGTGTTCACAGGTTATTTTTTATCTAGCAGTCCTTTCTGACAAAACTTTTTTACAATGACACCAAGTTAGTTTTTCATAGGTAGGACTCATTTATAAATGAAAATTCTGTTTCTCTCTGTTTCCTTGGCTTGTTTTGGGCAGAATCCTATTGTTTTATAGACCTTCTTGACATAACTACCAATATCCAGGAAGCAAACTTGACCACTATCTCAAAAAAGCGGGAGTTAGTAATTTTTAAGTCCTCAAACACACCAAACATCCAGCTCAATCATTTTTAAGTCTAGAATATCATGACCACAGCATTATACAGAATATTAAATTTTATTGAGGTATTTTCCAGATAGTAGTTTAGAAAAAAATGTGTTCTGTGGTGGTACCACTGAGGAATTACACCAGTAACCCCAATGTTATTTAGCATTTCAAACAAATCTTTGGCCGACCAAAGAAGTTTGTAAAATCTACTTACTTATTTGGGGACTGCAGATACAGAAGAGTTTGTACATTGTGGCTAATGAAAATTAATATTGCATCTACGTACCATTATTATATACTTTGCAATTTAGTTTGAGCAGATTGAGCTTGAGTTAGAGGGATGTCCATGTAGGAAACTTTACATAGCCTTTCAGGAATTTGGGCCTAGAGCTCCAGCGAGATTTCATGCAGTGCTAGACTAAGGCACATCCAGCTGCATTAATGACAGAAGTTTTAAAAGAAGACTGCATTACATTGATAGTAATGAAAAGTGTTTTAACACTTGGCGTGCTCTCTTCCTTCTGTGTCCCCCTGGTTCAGACCCTTAGTGCAAGGAGAAAGTAAGTAATAATAGATATCATTTTATAGGTTACTTTATTTCAGAAATAGAAGTGTGCTTCCCAAGAAATAATCTATATCCGTTTTTATCTAGCTCTTTGTTCTTAAGTGATTCTTGGTTTTGTCTGTGTGTCTTATCCTTGCACCTAGATTGTTCAGCATCTCTGGGACAAGAACTGTTGTATATTTATGCCCTATAGAATACCTGGCTTAGTGCTGGGCACCTTCTAGGGTTGACTGTTTGCAAGAGGAAACAGTAGAATTGTCTAGAGGCTGCTACGGAAGTGAAGAGAGACCTCTTGTGTCCTCAGTTGTGCATAATTCATTTATTCATTCTTCATATTGTATTTTTTATACTAAAGGAGAGCTGTTAGTGTTAAAGCCCCTAAGCAGTTAACCTCTAAGTGTTTTTGAGCCCTTGCCCGCCAGGAGCTTCCTGTCAGGATGGAGGACCATGAAGAATTATTGGGCTTTAGGACATTAAAGAAGTTGAAAAGGAAAGAAATCTCATGTCTAATGCTGAATTACCTAAGTATGATAAAATGAAATATAGAGCAAGGATTTGAAGCCAAATGGACCCAACTTCATATCCTGACTTGGATTTTCTGAGCTGTGTACCCTTGGACAAAGTATTCGATCCCTTTGAACTTAAGTTCCTTCATCTGTAAAATGGAGATTTTAAGATAGACTTTGTAGAGCTGCCGGGAGCATTCAGCATGTATGGGATGTACAGCACAGTGCTTGGCCCCAGTGGCCTCTGTCAGTGTTAGTTTCTGTCCCCTCACAGAAACTAACAGCAGCCCCCTTAGCAATAATTTTTACTTCTCTGGGTTTTTGGCCAGCATTAAGGCCATTAACTCAAACAGTTTGAATCTAAAATGGTACTCACTACTCTGATACTGATTTTCATTGAAAGAGAAAAAAAGATTCCTAATTTTGTAAATCATTGCTAAGATTAATAGTCTTGGAAGAAAGACCTTTATTGCATGTAGAGGACATTTTGTCCAAGTTATTCCTGAGATCATTTTACATACCCTCCTCTCATTTTTTTATTTATTTAACATGACAAAAATATAGAGTTGGAAATTAATAATGCAGATGGTTTTCACTTATATGAAAAATCATTGCTAGGAACTGAAAAATAGGATTTTTACAGTTGAAATCACTGCTTTCAAAGAGATTATGGTTGCAGCATACTGCAGGAGAATAATAATGATATAATAACATTACTGAATGCTAGTTTGGTCATGTCAGTCTTATGAGGCATAGGCACTGTTATCCTCATTTTGCAGATAATAAAACTGAAGTGCAGAGAGGTTAATAGCGTTCCTGTTTGCATAGTGAGGAAATAGCAGAGTCAGGATTTGAACTCAGTCTGGCTCTAGAGCCCATGCTATTAACCACTCATACTGCGAAGACAAAAAGAAGACAATCCTTTAAATGAGAGCAAATGTGCTAAAATTGTGGCAGGTTGTTCACTTTTATATTTGCTCTACAGGTATTCTGAGAGGAGCCTCACAAAGTGCATCGGAATTACTATTGAGACCAGACCTGATTATTGCATGAAGCGGCATTTAAGTGACATGTTAACCTATGGCTGTACAAGGCTAGAGATTGGGGTGCAGAGTGTCTATGAAGATGTTGCCAGAGATACCAACAGGTAAGATGGTGGCAAATGATCTTACACAAGCCTTCCTCTCCTCCCACCAATTATTCTTTGTTCATACTCATTTTTCCCTCCTTCCTACCACTCTTAGGTATAGATTCCTCTTTTTAGAGTCATTCTTCTATTTATGCTCTTAATTCCATCCTCTCTTTCCTTGATTTTAAGTCTTTCTTTACTGGCTCTTTTCCAGTAGCCTATAAACATGTTCACATCTCTTTCTAGTCTTGTCATAAACAGCCTTTCCCAATTGAAAGCAGAAGTCAGGGCTCATGGTGAGTAGTTTAAAGCAAGAGAGAAAGTGAAGGAGAATGGGAACAAAGGAAAGTATTTGAACAACAAGGAAGTCAGGGCGAAATTTAAGAGATTCGTTTTTGTGGAGTAGATGCCAATGGCAGGGTAGTAAGAGAAAGTTTGGTGAGGCAGTGGGTAGAAACTTTGAGAAATCTGGATATGTGAGGAAGGAAAGAAATAAAGGTTGATAGAGCCATCTGAAGTTCTCTTCCCTCTAGAAATATATCACTGAGTTGAGGAGAAAAGATATACATGAAAGGATAACTGTATAAGGAACTTTATGATTAATTGGTAAATTAATGAAAAACAAAAGATCTCTGGAGTTCGTTAGGCAGCAGAGATCCTTGACCTAGAATGGTAAAGGCAGGCTTCAGGGAGGAGGTATGTGTTGAGTTGGACCTTAAAGGCTATTTACTTTAATAGGATTTGAGTAGACATGACCGGGGTTGTGCTAGGAGAGGGAAGGAAAAGGGAAGAGCCATGGTCAGCCTCTTAGAAACAACCAAGAAGAATGCCAGGCTAAGGACGGCGGAATCTTTCTCTTAGGTAAGAATAGGTCTGTTGAATATTTTTTGAGCACAGGGAATAATCTGATGGGTATTAGGCTTGAGAAAGATTAACCTGAATAGAATGCATTCTCGTAGAGGAAGACTCAAACCGGGAACGTTGGTTGGATGGCTGCAGTATTCAAGGGCTGTTCTAGAGAAGTACCTATGGCGATGAAGAGTCTTAAAAGTCAGGGAAGCTTTTTGAAGAAAATGGCATCTAAGCCGACATCTAACAGGAAGAATATGAGTTCGGTGGTGAATGGGAAAGTTGTTTCTGGCAGAAAGAAAAATATGAGCAAACTGCTGAGCATGAGAGCAAATGGCACATACAGGGAATTCAGAGTGGTTTAGTTTGGTTAGAGTGTAGAGCATGCGGTAGAGTGGTAAGAGGTGAGGCCGAAAAGGTTGGCAGAGGGGCCAAATTATGAGGAGCCTTAGGAGTCAGCCCAGGGAATTTGGGTTTAATCCAAGGACAAGCCATAAGCTAAGTTGTGATAAAAGCCTATTTGCCTTTTGGAAAGATCACTTTATGGGAGTCACAGTATGGAGATGGATTAGGAAGAGCAAGCTAGAAGAAAGACCAGTTAAGAGGCTGTTGTAGGAATGTAAGGAAGAAATGATATCCTGAACAGAAGTAATGACCGTGTTTGGTGACTGAATGGAAATGAGGGTCAGAGAGTGGGAATTAGAGGAGGCTTGGAGGGAACATGAGTTTCATTTTAGATATACTGAATTTTAGATTCTCGTAGACCAACCAGCTGAAGATTTGCTTTAGAGCAAGGCTGTCCAACAGAACATTCTGCAATGATTGAAATGTTCTGTACCAATATGATAGTGCAGCTGAGGGACTGAATTTTTCATTTTAATTTAAATATAAAGTTGAATAAATATAAAGTTGAATAATGTCCCTAGTGACTGTAGTATTGTACAGTGCAACTTTAGAGTTTTGGTTATTTGGGTGGAGATCAAGAGAGAGGCCTAGCCTAGTTATATAAACTGGGAAGCCATTAGCAAAAAGAGATGAGAAGTTGAAGCCATGGAAATGGATGAGAACATCCAGAGAGTGGGGTGAAGCCCTTGGTTTCCAGGAATTTTTCGTGGTGAATGGGAATGTCTTGGTGGTGAAAGGATTAACACAGGCTTCAGTCTTCAGTAACCCCATACTCTGATTAGGGCTTGCCTCCTCCTTCAGTGTGGCACTAGAATGTGAAGATGATTTATCCAGTTGACCCCAAGTGATTCAGCCTTGTCAATAAATCATTCTCTTTTCTCACTTTTTTAAGGACCCTCCAACCCACCAGAGTGAAATCTATTTTGTATAGAGGTGTGTCTGTCTCTCTCCCCATCCCCAAATATTTCACAAGATTTTAAAAGGAAAGAACATAACAATATGCTGCTTCTGAATGGTTTTGAGCTCATTCTGATTTTAAACTAGATATTTACATTAGTTAGTTTATTTTGGCTGATGATGCTACAGATAATTTTAGTGTCAGAACTTTGAGTAGGTACATAAGGGAGTTTCTGAGAAATATCTCAGAAGTAAAAATGATTTACTTCTAGGCCTTCTCAGAGGAAGATGTATAAAAGACTTTCTGAGATTTCTTTTCCCCAACTATATTATTCTGTTTCATGTCTCCGAGATAGTTTTTCCTCTGCTCCTTGTGTTAACCTTGTTGCTTATTTACATGTGTAACAGGTAGTGATTTTTCTTTCCTCAGGGGCCACACTGTGAAGGCAGTATGTGAGTCATTTCACCTGGCCAAAGATTCTGGTTTCAAAGTTGTGGCTCATATGATGCCTGATCTGCCAAATGTGGGACTAGAGAGAGATATTGAACAGTTTACAGTAAGTGTTACCTTAAACCAGGCTAATTTCAAATGCCTCTGCATGCTGCTTCTACCTTCTCTGCTTGTTTTGGTTATTTAGTATTGATTTTTCCCCCATTACTCAATGCATTCTCATTATGGAATAGTAGAAACACAGAGAAAGAGGAGTCACTTATAGCTCCAACACCAAATAAAACTCTAACATTTTAATTACTGCCCATTCAGGACTTTGTTAGGCTTAGGCTTTTTAAATTAAAGTATTACCACTTTTTGATATTGTAAATAACACTGCAGGTAAACAGTTTTATGCCTATAACTTTTTGTACTATTTAGGATTATTTTTTCAGGATAAATTCCCCAGGGTAAAAATATCAGGTAAAAGTGTAAATACTTTAAGAATCTCACCATATTACTTAGTTGCTTTTCAGAGAATTGTAAATTTACACT